CGGGGGGCACCCAGCCGGGATGGGGGGGACACGAGGGGCACCCGCCCTTCACTCTCCTCGAGTTACGGGGGCGGGAGCGGGAAATCCAATGGAAAACGATTCTGGAAGCGATACCTGTCCTGTAGCTGTCCCTGCATCCTCCTCCTCCTCCTCCTCCTCCTCCTCCTCCTCCTCCTCCGCGCTGCTCCCGGCCTCCAGGATGGCTGCAGGGAAGCGGCCCAGGGGGTCTGGGGGGACACGGGGGGGCCAGGGGGGTGACATGAGGGGCTGGCCGGTCCCCGGCAGCCCTGGGTGTCCCCGCGGGGCGCTGGGGTGGAGGGTCTGGGGGGGGGATGCTGTGAGACCCCCACCCGTACCGCGGGAAGCGGCCCCGGGGACAGTCGGGGGGGGCCGGGGGTCCCCGATGCTGGGCCTGGGGACAGCCCTTGTCCCCAAGTGCTCCGGGGTCCTCGCGGCGCGGGGGGGTTTGGGGGGGCTGTTTACCCGGCTCCCCCCGGGCAGCTCCCAGAGGGGCTGAGGCGCATCCCGGCCTCCCACCCTGCCCGGAATCCCTAATCCGGTGGGGCAGGAGCTCTGGAATGTAAATCCCACCTGCCTCCTTCACTTCCTCCCCTCCCCCCGCTTTGTAATCCACCCCCCTCCCCACCCCGGACCTTACACCCCCCGTGGGACCCGCGGTGCTGGGAGTGAAGACCCCCAAGATCCTCCACTAGGGAGAGAAAATCCCCCTCCAGCCCCAGGTCTGGGCTGGTCTCACTCCCTGCAAACCCTCTCCCAGTGGAGAGAACTGGGAACCCTCCGGTGCCCGGAGGTCACGGTGGTGGCCACAGGGGACAGACAGGCAGACAGACAGACAGACAGACCCCCCCGGCCACACCTGAGCCCCCCCCGATCCCCCGGGGCCGGACCTTACCTGCGAGGGGCCCCCCGAGCCCCCCCCCCCGATCCCCCGGGGCCGGACCTTACCTGCGAGGGGCCCCCCGAGCCCCCCCCCCGATCCCCCGGGGCCGGACCTTACCTGCGAGGGGCCCCCCGAGCCCTTGCCCGGCCCCGGCCATGGTGGGGCTGCGGCCCCGGCCCCACAGAGCGGGGGGAGCTGCCCCTGCCCCGGCCCCGGCCCCGGCTCTGCCTCCTCCTCCCGCCGCTGCAGGGAAGTGAAACCGCCCCCTGACCCCCCCGGGAGGGGGGACCCCGATCCGGGCAGGGGGGGAACCGAAACCTGCCCCGCCCCGGCCGCGGGTGCTCAGGCTGGGGAGGTGCTGGGACCCTGCCCAGGGAGCTCTGCGGGACCCCCATGGCGTGGGCACCCCTCAGGGCACCCGAAATATGGAAATGGGGTGCTTTGAGGGGATGCAGCTCAGTGGGGGGATGTGTGTGGCTGCCTGTACCTCTGCCTGTACCTCTGCCTGCACCTCTGCCTGCACCCCTGCCTGTATTGGGCAGCGTGGACTGGGCAGGGGCCACTGCTCCACAGAGCACCCCGGGGTCTCTAGGGATCTCCAGGGGTCTCCAGGGGTCCCTGGGGTGGGAAGGGCAGGGCCAGAGCAGGAGCAGCAGAGCACAGGGGGTTGGTACCACAGCACTTTATTTCCCAAGGAAAGGAGGTTCCTCCCGGCCCCGGGACACCCTCGGTGCCCTCCCGGCAGCCCGGCCCAGGCAGCCCCCCCGGGGGCCCCCGGGTGGTCCGTGGGGATCCGGGGGGTCACAGGGCCGTGCCCGCCGGGCCCTGCTCGGGCGCCTTGGCCTCGCGGGGGTAGAACTCGGCCAGGATGCTCTCCGGGATCCGCTTCAGCAGCTGCTTGGGGAAGATGCGCAGGAGCTGCCAGCCCAGGTCCAGGGACTCGAAGATGCTCCGGTTCTCGTAGGGGCCTGGCAGGGGAGGGCGGTGCAGGAGCCGGGGGGTGCCGGGGGGCAGTCCCAGCCCCCAGCCCCCCGTGTGGGGCCCCCCGCTCACCCTGGGAGATGAACTGCTTCTCGAACTTGTGCAGGAACTCCAGGTACAGCAGGTCGTCGGCAGACAGAGCCTCCTCCCCCACCACCGCCTTCATGGCCTGCACGTCCTTCCCGATGGCGTAGCAGGCGTACTGGGAGAGCCACATGGCAATGGGGGGGCCTGGGAGGGGCCTCAGAGCCCACCCAGGGACACCCAGGGACACCCAGGGACACCTTCCACCAGCCCAGGTTGGCCTTGGACACTTCCAGGGATGGGGCAGCCACAGCTTCTCTGACCAACCTGGGCCAGGGTCTTCCCTCACAGGGCAGGATTCCTTCCCAATATCCCATTTGAATCTCCCCTCTTCCATTTAGAAGCCATTCCCTGTGTGCTGTCCCTCCCTGCCTTGTCCCCAGTCCCTCTCCAGCTCTCCTGGAGCCCTTTCAGGCCCTGCCAGGGGCTCTCAGCTCTCCCTGGAGCCTTCTCTTCTCCAGGGGAACCCCCCCAGCTCTCCCAGCCTGGCTCCAGAGCAGAGGGGCTCCAGCCCTGGCAGCAGCTCCGGGGCCTCCTCTGGACTCTCTCCAGCAGCTCCACGTCCCTGTGCTGTTGTTCCCAGGGCTGGAGCAGCTCTGCAGGGGGGTCTCACCTGAGCCCCCCCAGACAGGGGAGAGGGTTCTGAAGGGACAAACCACCCCCCTCAGTGCCCCCCAGCCCTCACCAGCTGGTTGGAGACGTCCCCGTGGTCCTTCCTGGTCATTCCCTCCCCGATGGCCGATTTCATCAGCCGGGACAGGGACGGCAGGACGTTGATGGGGGGGTAGATCTGCAGGGCGAGAGGGACCCCCGTGTGCACCCGTCCAGCACCCACCTCCTGCCCTGGCCACCCCCATCCCGGTGCTCCGGGGTGGTCTCCGGGCCCCCAGTCCCACCCTGGACGGGGCTCGGGAACGAACCTGCCGGTTGTGGAGCTGCCGGTCCACGTAGATCTGCCCCTCGGTGATGAACCCCGTCAGGTCGGGGATGGGGTGGGTGATGTCTGGGGGGGAACCAGGGTGCTGTGAGCCCCCCCCGGGGGTGTGGCTGCTCGGGACACGGCCGTGCCCCATGTCGGGGGTCACAGGGGCAGCACGGCCCCCATGGGGCTGCTGTGGGGGGTCTCGGTGTCACCCCCCTGCCCAGGAGCTGGGCACCACAAGGGGAACTGATGAAGGGTGGCTTGGTTGGTTTGTGCCCCCTCTGGGGCACCCGTGGGTGCTCCCCATGTCCCCCAACCCCACCCTTTGGCTGACACCCTTCTCCCGCTGGGGGGGCCCAGAGGGATGATTTGGGGGGGACAATAACCCCAAAGCACCCCAGCGAGCACCCAGGGCTTCACCACCCTGGGAGCCCCCCAAAACCGGGTTCGAACAATCCGGCATTTCCCAGCCCTGTGGTGTCCCGGCGCGGGGCAGGCCCGGCCCCACCACGTCCCCAGAGTGCCCCCCGTGTGCCCCCCGTGTCCCCAGAGTGTCCCCCGCATCCCCAGAGTGCCCCCCGTGTCCCCAGAGTGCCCCCCGTGTCCCCAGAGTCCCCCCGCGTCCCCGGTGCCCCCCGTGCCCCGCTGACCGTCGTTGGGCATGGTGAGGATGGGGATCTGGGTGATGGAGCCGTTCCTGCCCTCCACCCGCCCCGCCCGCTCGCTCCCGTTTATCCTCCTGCCACGGGCTCTGTCTTGTAGACTGTCTTTCCTCTCTCCTCGCGCATACTCTTCCACCTCTTCCTTCTTTTCTCCGTGTCCACCCGCCCTTCTCTGTATCCTACCTTCCTCTGCCTTCGCCACCCGGGCTCCCCCGGCACAGCCCCCGCCTCGGCCCCCTCGGGACCACTCATACTCCCGGGCCGGCCCGACACTTTTGTGCAGGGGGTGCCCTTTTTGTATCTGTTCTGGGCTGGGGGGGCTCCAGCACCCCAAAAACCCTGAGAGCACCGGGGGACACCAGTGCCACAAGCGCCCCGGGCACCCCCAGCAACCTGAGCACCCCGAGCACCCCAAGAGCCCTGGGAACCCCACGTGTCCTGGGCACCCCAAGAACCCTGGGAACCCCACATGTCCTGGGCACTCCAAGAGCCCTGGGAACCCCACATGTCCTGGGCACTCCAAGAACCCTGGGAACCCCACATGTCCTGGGCACCCCAAGAACCCTGGGAACCCCACATGTCCTGGGCACCCCAAGAACCCTGGGAACCCCACGTGTCCTGGGCACCCCAAGAGCCCTGGGAACCCCACGTGTCCTGGGCACTCCAAGAGCCCTGGGAACCCCACGTGTCCTGGGCACTCCAAGAACCCTGGGAACCCCACGTGTCCTGAGGACCCCAAGAACCCTGGGAACCCCACGTGTCCTGGGCACCCCTGAGCATCCCAAACACCCTAAGAGACCTGGAAACCCCAGGTATCTTGGGCATCCCAAGAACCCTGGGCACCCCACGTGTCCTGGGCACTCTGAGCATCCCAAACACCCCAAGAACCCCAAATGTCCTGGGCACCCCAGGCACTCCCAGCACTCTGGATACCCTGAGCACCCCCGGCACCCCAAAATCCCCTGGGCACCTCAGGTGTGCTGGGCACCCCAAGCACTCCAGTCACCCCAAGTGTCCCAGGCATCCCAGACATCCCAGGCACCCCAAACACCCCAAAACTCCTGGGCACCCCACGTGTCCTGGGCACCCCAAACACCCCAAAACTCCTGGGCACCCCACGTGTCCTGGGCACCCCAAGCACCCCAAACACCCCAAGAACCCTGGGAAGCCCAAGCACCCCAAACACCCCAGGCACCCCAAGTACCCTTGGCACCACTGGTGTCCCGGGCACCCTGAGTACCCCAAACTCCCCAGGCACCGTAAGAACCCCAGGTACCCCAGGTGCCCCAGGTTTCCTGGGCACTCTGAGCACCCCAAGCACCGCGGGCACCCCAAACACCCCGGGGACTCCAGGTAGCCCAAGCACCCCAATTACTTGGGCACCCCGAGCAGCCCGAGTCCCCTGGGCACCCCAGGCACCCCAACAGGCCAGTCCCCATCCCCTGCCAGCCGGGGAGGACCCAGGGCACGGGGACAGGACCCAGGGCACGGGGACAGGACCCAGGGCACGGGACAGGACCCAGGGCACGGGGACAGGACCCAGGGCACGGGGACAGGACCCAGGGGATGGGGACAGACCCAGGGCACGGGGACAGGACCCGGGGCACGGGGACAGGACCCAGATCACGGGGACAGGACCCAGGGCACGGGGACAGGACCCAGGGGACAGGGACAGGACCCAGGGCATGGGGACAGGACCCAGGGCACGGGGACAGGACCCAGGGCACGGGGACAGACCCAGGGCACGGGGCAGACCCAGGGGACGGGGACAGGACCCAGGGGATGGGGACAGACCCAGGGGATGGGGACAGGACCCGGGGTATGGGGACAGTCCCCGCTGACCTCCCGCAGGGCCTCGGCGTAGGAGCTCATGTCGGTCAGGATCACCAGCACGTGCTTCTCGCACTGGTAGGCCAGGAACTCGGCCGTGGTGAGCGCCAGCCGGGGGGTGATGATCCTCTCGATCCTGCCGGGCACGGGGGGCACCCCCGGGGCACGGTCAGCCCCGCAGAGCAGGTCTGGGGGGGCCGGGAGGGCAGGAGGGGGGTCTCCCTGCTTCTGCAGCCCCCGCTGCTGCTCGGGGCAGGGCTGGCTCCCCGGGGGGGACCCGCGGCTTTGGGGTCCCAGAATAGCCCCCCCGACCCACCTGAGAGTGGGCAGGGCCTCGTGGGGGGAGAGGGGGAGGGAGAGGAGAGGGAGAAAGGAGAGGAAAGAGGAAAGGGAAAGGGAAAAGGAAAAGGAGAGGGAGAAAGGAGAGAGGAGAAAGAGGAGAAAGGCCAAGGGGAAGAGAGAAGGAGAAAGAAAATGGAGGAAAATGGAGAAGAAAAGAAGGAGAAAGAGGGAGGAGGAAAAGGAGAAGGAGAAAGAGGGAGGAGGGAGAAGGAAAAGGAGAAAGAGGGAGGAGGGAGAAGGAGAAAGAGAAGGAGGAAGGAGGAGGAGGAGGAGGGAGAAGAAGAAGGAAAAAGGAAAAGGAAGGAGAAAGAATAAGAAAGAAGGAGGAGGGAAAAGGGAGAAGGAGAAGGAAAAAAGAGGAGAAAGGAGGAGGGAGAAGGAAGAGGAGAAGGAGGAAGGAAAAGGAGAAGGAGGAAGGAGGAGGAGGAGCGGGTGCCGGAGCCAGGGGAGTGTCTCACGTGGGGTCGTTGGCCAGGTTGAGGAACAGGCACACGTTCTCCATGGAGCCGTTCTCCTCAAAGTCCGACTTGAAGAAGCGGGCGGTCTCCATGTTCACCTGCCCGGGGGGGGACAGCGCTCAGCGGGGCCGGGGACACCGCGCCGGGGGGGCAGAGCCGCGGCTGTGCCCGGGCTGTCCCCACTCACCCCCATGGCGGCGAAGACGATGGCGAAGTTGTCCTCGTGGTAATCCACCACGTCCTTGGACTTCTTCACCAGCCCCGCCTGGCGGCAGATCTGTGCCGCGATCTGGGGGGGACAGAGGGGAGGGCAGCGCGGAGCCCCCGGAGGGGACACGGCCCGACCGGGACCGGGACACGGCCCCTGGCAGCGGGGACAGGGCACGGAGACAGGAGAGGGCACCCCAGGAGGGCACCAGCACCCCCAGCTGCCGGCCCAGCCCACGGGGGTGCCCACCACACCCGAGGGGCAGCGGGGTGTCCCCCTCCCTGTGACACCATCGTGCCGTGCCCGTGGTCACCCTTTGCTGTCACCCCCCAGCTGTTTCCATCCCATCCCACCCCCTCCGGCACTTCCAGCCCCTCCTGCTCTGCCCCCGTGTCACGGCCGCCTCCGCGGGGATCTGGGGTGCTCTGCAGCCCCCCAGCCCGGTCTGAGCCCCCACATCAGCCCAGACCCCCTTCCCCCCCAGCTCTTGGCACTCAGGGTTTGCTCCCCCCTCGCTGTGTCGGGGGGAGACCGAGGCACGAGCTGCCGGGGCTCCCCCGGGACAGGAGAGAGGCTCCAGCCCCCCAGATCCCTCCTGCTCCCCCCGTGCCCCCCCGGGCCCCCACCTCGTTGTGGGGCAGCCCGGCAGCGGAGAAGATGGGGATCTTCTGCCCGCGGGCGATGCTGTTCATGACGTCGATGGGCGAGATCCCGGTCTGGATCATCTCCTCGGGGTAGATGCGCCCGTGGGGGTTGATGGGCTGGCCTGGAGCGGGACAGGGACGGGGGGCACCCCGGAAAGGAGGAGTCATGGAATGGGGCCGGTTGGAAGGGACCTTAAAGCCCACCCAGTTCCACCCAGGGACACCTTCCACCAGCCCGCCTTGCTCCAAGCCCCGTCCGACACGGCCCTGGACACTCCCGGGGGTGGGGCGGCCTCGTTTGCCCCCGTTGGTGCCAAAAATTAGGGAACAAATTCTGGAGATAAGGAGGGAGCAGCTCCTGGGGCAGCATCCCCAGCCCTGGGGTGGGACAGGCACTGCTCTGGCACCCGAACCCCCCCGGGGCACCCCCGTGGGGGGGATGGAGGGATGGAGGGAGAGGTGGAAGGATGGACGGACGGATGGAGGGATGGACGGACGGACGGAGGGATGGGGTGGCACCACGGGGCTGCTCTGACCACCAGCGCTACCCCCGTGCCAGGCTGTCCCCGAGTCCCTCCCGCATTCCCAGGGCCGGCCGGGGCAGCCCCGCGGGGCCGGAGCCGTCACCGTTGATGTCCAGGAAGTCCTCGGCCATCACCGGGGGGCCGCTGTCGATGGGTTTGGCCGAGCCGTTGAACACCCGACCTACAAGGACAGAGGGGCTCGTCCCTGCCCTGGGCCACCAGCCGGGGTGGGGGGGAGGCTGCCGGGGGGCACCTGCCAGCCCGTGGGCGTGGGGCAGGGTCCCCATCCCGATCCCGATCCCCATCCCCATCCCGGTCCCGGTCCCCATCCCCATCCCGGTCCCCATCCTGATCCCGGTCCCCATCCCGATCCCCATCCCGGTCCCCATTCCGATCCCGATCCCCATCCCGGTCCCCATCCCCATCCCGGTCCCCAGCGCTCCCACAGGACACCCCTGGGGTGCCCAGAGGGGACACCGGTACCGGTGCTGGGGCGCTGTGGGTGGGGAGCAGAGGAATTGGCACCAGGGGGGCTGTGGGCACCCCCAGACCCCATCCCAGGGAACGAGGCGTGCCCGTGTCACCGCGGGGGGTGGGCGGTGTCACCCGGGGGCTGGGTGACACCTCAGCTCTCGTGGCAGGAAGGTGCCGGCCCATGGGGACGAGAGCCAGGGGACCCCCTTCCCATGTCCCCAGCCACCCCATCACCTCCCCCTTGGGGTCCCCCGCTCCTGGGCGGGGGGGTGACACCGAGACCCCCCCAGCCTGCCCGAGGGGGGGTCACACGGCATCACCGCTCCCTCTCAGCCTCATCGACCGGCTCGGAGCCGCGGCATCGATCGCCACGAAGCCGCTGCGCCCACACGCCGCCCCCCCGGCTCCCCCCACCCCGCTGCCGCCCCACGGGACGTTCTGCCGGTCCCCGCCAGGGCCGGGGACACGTCACGGGTGTCAGAGCGGATCAGGGTGATGGCAGGGCCGGGGCGCCGAGCGCGGAGCATGAAAGGTCAGCGGGCACGGCAGAGCCGCGGCCCCGGCCCCGAGCCCGCGCGGGGACCAGCCGGGGAGGGGGGACCGGCCAGGGAGGGGGGACCCCGGCCAGGGAGGGGGGACCCCGGCCAGGGCTGAGGGGCGGCACTGCGGGAGCGCTGGGGGGACGCGCTGGCCGACCCTGCACGGGGACAGACGGACCCCGGCTGCGGGAGAAGGGGTCCCTGGCTGGGGCAGAGTGAGGGTCCCCGGCCGGGGGAAGCGGAGCAGGTCCCTCCCCGTGCCCGGCCGTCACCGCTGGCAGCCGAACCGCGCTCGACACGTGCCCTTTGCGCTGCCCTTTGCGGCGGGGCGCGGGCGCTGCCGAGCCCCGGGCACCGCGATCCGTCCACGGCGGGATGGAGATCGCGGCAGACACGCGGCCCCCGACCACGGAGCGGCACCGGAGCCCAGGGTCCCCCCCCCCGCGACCCCGAGTGACCCCCGTCACCGGCCGTGACCCCTCTGGCGCTGGGGGACACTCAGGAACCTCTAACGGGGCTTGGGGGTGGATGGAGGGGGTTGAACACCCCCGGGCGAGGCTGGGGGGGCCCAGGGGGGGCTGCCGGTACCCAGCCGTGCAGGGGGTCTGTGGGGATAGAGGGGGGTTCACACTCGGCCATAATGAATCCCAGACCGGTTTGGGTGGGAAGGGACCTTAAATCCCACCCAGTGCCACCCCTGCCACGGGCAGGGACACCTCCCACTGTCCCAGGTTGCTCCAAGCCCCGTCCAGCCTGGCCTTGGACACTTCCAGGGATGGGAGGGTCACGTGCTCATCCCCAGAGCTGAAGCCCCCCCCCCCAACATCCCCAAAGTGCCCCTCCCGTGTTACCCCCCACCCACGCCCCGAGCTGTGTCTGGGCTCAGCCACGGGCGGGGCTTACCCAGCATGTCCTCGGACACGGGGGTGCGCAGGATGTCCCCCGTGAACTCGCAGGAGGTTTGCTTGGCGTCGATCCCAGATGTTCCCTCAAACACCTGCAGAGACCCCGGGGCAGCGGGCGGGGGGGGCAATTAGTGGGGATTAATGGACAGGGAGGGGAGGGGGGTGCGGGGGGATGTGATCCGCGCTCACCCGAAAACCCCCCAGGGAGGAGAGACAAAAGAGGGGGGGGGGGAGCCCTCGGGGGTAAGAAAACCCCCTCCTGAGGGGCTTTGGGGAGGGGGAACCCCGAGGCGGGGGGGATCCCGCTCCCTTTTGCAGCGCCCACGGCAGGGCGGGGAAGCCAAAGGCTTTTTGTTTGATCAGTGTAATATTTGACATCATTTGTATTAATTAACCTCCAAATCGCTGCTTTAATTGGAGCCGGGTGGCCCCCGGGAGGGGGGGCCGGGGGACACCGACAGGCCTGAGGGGGGGCGATGGCCGCAGCCCCCCGCGGGGCCGCAGGTGCTGCGGGTCACCCCCAACAACGCCGGGTCTGCGAAAAGCTCATTTTCTTCCCTTTTATCCCTATTTCCCCCCCTTTCCCCCCGAGCCTGACTCCCTAATAGGATTAAAAGGGCATCACAGAGACGCAGGTGCCATTAGAGGAGTGATTTTGGGCAGCTGCGCAGCCCCCCCGAGCCCTGGGGGGGGCTGGTTTAGGGGGGATCCGGCGTAATTAGGCAGGATGACCCCAAACAGTCCCAGAGCTCCCAGGGAACCCCCCCAGTGCCCCGGACTGGGGACACCCCGGAAACCACCGCCCGTCCCAGTCGGGGCCCCGCTGGGGGGGGCTTGGCAGGGGGGTCCCGGGTCTTCCTGCTGGGATGGAGGGGGAGGTTGGTGTGGGGGACGTGGGGATAAGGGATGGGGACAACACCTGTCCCAGGACACTGACAGTCCGGGACAACACATATCCCGGGAGCCCCCTGCCTGTCCCGGGATATCACCTGTCCCCGGGCACCTGTACCGGGACATCGCCCACTCCAGGACACGGCCCGTCCCAGGGCACTGCTCATCCCGGGACACCGTGTGTGCCAGGACAGCGGGCCTGGACAGCCCGACAGCGCTGGGACAAGGACGCGGCAGCCACCGCTGGAGGGGGACAGAGCCTCGGGACAGATCCCTGGGACAGAGCATCGGGACAGAGACCGGGACAGAGCCCCGGGACACGCCCCCGAGCACACTCCCGGGCCGTGCGGTGCCGCGTGTCCCCGCGTCCCGCGGGGCTCACCTGGACGATGGCTTTGGAGCCCATCACCTCCAGCACCTGCCCGCTGCGGGTGCTGCCGTTGGGCAGCGTGAAGTTCACGATCTCGGCGTACTGGGCGAACTGCGGGGACAGGGCCGGGGGGAGTTGGGGCGGGGGGCTCCTCTGTGCCCCCCCAGCCCGCCCCTGCCCCCCCAGCCCTGCCAGGCCGCCCCATTTCCCCTCCTGAGGGGCGGGTTTGTGCTCCCTGAGGCCACCGCGCACTGAGGGGGGACACGGGACAGCGGTGGGGGGCCGGGGGAAGGTGCTGCCTGTCCCTGCCCCGTCCTGGAGCCGCTCCGGGCTCTGCCCCGCTCCTGCCTCGGTTTCCACAACACTGGGCAATGTTCCCCAATAACGGGGACAGTCCCGGTACAGCCAATCCACACAGTCCCTGCCAGGCACGGACAGGGCCACCAAGGTGCCACCTCGCACTGGCCACGGGGACGAGTGGGACTCGGCACCCCAGGGGACACCACCCACCCTCCCCAACCCTCCCGGGGCAGATGGAGGGGACTTTTCTGCCGCCCTTTGGCTGAGGGGACACGTCCTGCTCTGGGGACAACGTCCAAAGGGTCTCTCCCCTGCCCAGCCCTGCCTGCCCAGCACGCTCCGGGCTCTCCTCTTCCTCCTCCTCCTCACTCCCAGCCACCACCGGGGCTGCCTCCGGCCCTGTGAACTTTGGACTTTAATTCTTCTGGAAAGACCTTTGGATAAAGGACGACAAAGCCGAGGAAACCCCCGCCACGGGCTGGCTCTTTAACTGAGCTGATTAATTCCCGTCCCGCCGGGCTCGGCGTGAAAGGGGCCATGGAAACGAGCCAGTGGGCAACAAAGCCCCTCGGAGGGTCCCCCAGGTGCCCGGAGCCCACCCAAGAGAGCCCAGACCCTGCGCCGGGAGCAGGGACAGGCAGGGTGACACCGAGTTGTCCCCCCGGGCTGGGACACGGGCCGAGCGGGGGTCGTGGTGTGGTCTCACCCAGAGCAGGGTCCCAGAGGGAGCTGGGGCTTGGGCAGGGGACAGGAGCCACAGATTGGGCAGGGGACAAGGGACAGGGGCCACAGATTGGGCAGGGGACAAGGGACGGAGCCTGAGGAGAAGGGCTGGATTTTGGGAAGGGGCACAGGAGAACAGGGGGCAGGGGCCGAGCTCGGGCAGGACACGGGGGCAGGACACGGGGGCAGGACACGGGGGCAGGACACGGGGGCAGGACACGGGGGCCGGAGCGCAGTGTCCCGGGCAGAGCGTACACTCGTCCCCCCGGCACACACACCGCCCGCACGGGGACACGGGGACACGACAATCGCACGGGGACACGGGGACACGGGGACACGGGCTCTGCTGCCGACCGCGTCCAGAGGAGGGAGCTCGGACCCCAGAGAGGAAGGGACAGCCCGGGGGACAGGGGACAGCCCAGGGGACAGTGGAGAGGGGACAGGGGACAGGGAACAACTCAGAGGATCAGGGGACAGGGGACAGGAGAGACGGGACAGGAGACCAGTCCAGGGGACAGGAGACGAGTGACAAGGGACCAGCCTGGAAAACGGCCCAGGGGACGAGGGCTGGGGAGAAGGGATGCGGGACAGGGCAGAGGGGACAGCCCAGGGGACACGAGAGAGGTGATGAGGGACAAACTCCCCCCGGTGCCCTCTCCCTGCCTGGGTGACAACCCAGCCCAGGGGGGAGAGCACGGCGGTCCCTGCCCAGCCCAGGTGACATTGCCAAGGTGTCCCCTTGTCACCCCCCCAGACAGGGTCCTACCTTCACGTTGTCCAGCACCACGAGTGGCCCATTGACCCCACACACCGTCCTGTAGGCTGGGGGAGGGAAGGACACACCGTCAGCCCCCGGGGCTGGGGAGGCTCCCGGGGGGGCTCCCACCCCGACCCCAGCACTGGCAGCACCAAACCCTGGGATCCATCCCACTCCAGTGCCACCCCCTCCTGCTGTCCCATTCCTTATCCCAGGGCCAGCCCGAGGGACCAGTGGCAGCTGAACTGGAGACCTGGAGCGCCCATCCTGCGGGAATGTCCCTCCGTGGTGCCTGGTGGCAGCTGGATGTGTCACCTCCTGGAGGTGTTCCCACACACCTGGCAGGGGTGTCACCACTGGGAATGTCACCACAACCAGCAGCGAGGCCTCCCCTTGTCCCCCAGCTTCCCTGGCTCACCCCTCCAGCAGCACCAGGAGAGGTTCCCTGCCCTGGGACACCCCATCCTGGCAAGGTGCCACCACAGCCTGGTGACCTGCTGGAACTCCAGTGGCTCCTGCAAGCCCCAGCAGGGCATCTCCATCCCACCAGGCCTTTCCCACCCACCTCACATCCTCTGTCCCAGCCCAGGCACAGACCCTTCACCCCCCAAAACCCCCAGGCCCAGCCCTGACCCCCTGAGACGGGCACAGCCCTGCAGAGAGTCACGGAACACACTGGCTTGGGCTGGGAGGGACCTTTAAATGTCACCCAGTGCCACCCCTGCCATGGGCATGGACTCCTCTCAGTAGCCCAGGTTGCTCCAAGCCAGGCCCTCCCCGCCCTCACAGGGAAGAGTTTCTCCCCAATATCCCACCCAAATCCCCCTCTTTTAGTTAAAAACCACCATCCTTTGAGAATCCTGGTGGGATGCAAAGGGCACTGCCCCGAGACCCCGTGGGGCACCAGGGACACACCCAGGGTGACACTCAGGTGAGGACAGGAGGGTGCTGGGGGTGTGGCCCCCCAGGGACCCCCGTGGGGCAGGAGGCACCCGGGCCATTTAGGACAAGGGTGCCAAAGGGGGTGAGGCCGTGCGGGAGCCCAGGGAGAGGCAGCAGGGCCGGGAGCGCCGGGATTGGGCTCAGCCCCGGTGGGTGTGGGGGCACTGAGCCGGCCCTGAGCTGCCCTTGATCATCCCGGGCTGTGTCAGTGCCGAAATCCTGCCCCGGCAGGGCGGGGCTCGCTGACCCCGCCGGGCCCTTTCATCGCTCTGCCCCCTCTCCTCCCGCCGGGCTGTGATTCCCTCGTGATCCCGAGGGGACGGGAGGGGCCGGGCCGGCTGCAGGGCTCACCCCCCTCCTGCCGGCCCCGGGATGGGGGGGCCGTGTCCTGGCACTGGGAGGGGGTTCCTGCCCCTCAGCACCCCCGCTGTCCCTGAGGTGCTGCTGGCATCGTCCCCAGCTGGATCAGCCCCGGGGACTCCATTCCTAGGGGATGGGTCCCCTCTGCTCCCCACTGGCCACAGTCTGGGGAGCACCAATCCCTGCACAACCCACAGAGCAGTGTGGGGTCACCCCCGTGGCACAGCTGCACCCCCAGGGTCCCCCTCCCCTCTCCCAGCCCGTGCCAGGGCACAGAACTGGCAGTGCCAGTGACCCCTCACACTCCTGCATGAGGATCACAGAATTCCAGCCTTGTTTGGGTGGGGAGGGACCTGAAAGCCCATCCAGTCCCCCCCTCTGCCACGGGCAGGGACACCTTCCACCAGCCCAGGTTGTTCCAGCCCAGATTGGCCTTGGACACTTCCAGGGATCCAGGGGCAGCCACAACTTCCCTGCCCAACCTGTGCCAGGGCCTCCCCACCCTCAAAGCCAGGAATTCCTTCCCAATATCCCATCTATCCCTGCCCTCTGGCAGTGGGAAGCCATTCCCTGTGTGCTGTCCCTCCCTGCCTTGTCCCCAGTCCCTCTCCAGCTCTCCTGGAGCCCCTTTAGGCCCTGCCAGGGGCTCTCAGCTCTCCCTGGAGCCTTCTCTTCTCCAGGGGAACCCCCCCAGCTCTCCCAGCCTGGCTCCAGAGCAGAGGGGCTCCAGCCCTGGCAGCAGCTCCGGGGCCTCCTCTGGACTCTCTCCAGCAGCTCCACGTCCCTGTGCTGTTGTTCCCAGGGCTGGAGCAGCTCTGCAGGGGGGTCTCCCCTCAGACAGGGGCAGAGGGGCACAATCCCCCCCTGCCCTGTGCCCAGGCTGGGGGATCAGCCCAGGGAATGGGGGATTCTGGACGGGATCCTGTGGAGCTTCTCACCCACCAGCACCCCAAGTCCTTCCCCTCAGGGCTGCTCCCAACCCATTCCCTTCCCAGCCTGGATTTGTGCTGGGATTGGCCCAGCCCAGGAGCTCCTGCCCTTGGCCTTGTTGAGCCTCGTGAGGTTCTCACAGACCCACATCTGGAGCTAATTAGCTAATTAGCCTTCTCTCATTACCCAGTTATGCCCAGTTCCTGCTGGTCTCCCAGCCAGCAGCAGCGGGGGGGGGATGGAGGGGTGGGGGGTGGTTGCACACCGGGATCCCACTCCCCACTTTTGCCTCCTTCACTCCCAAAGTGACAATTTGACCTTTTATTTCCCTTCCCTCCCAGAGCTCCTCTGCCCCCTCTCTTGCTCCCCCCGGCAGGGTTGGGTGGCCCCTTTTCTGTCCCACACCTCCCCCACAGCCCCAGTGGCTGGGGAGCCACCCCGGTGGGACAGGGACACTGGTTTGTCCCTTCTCCTGAGCTCGGTGGTCTCCAGCCCCCCTGGACCCTCCTGGATTCCCTCCCTCTGCTCCAGGCTGGCTTCTCCCACAGAGGGCATTGGAGCCTGTGGGAGCATCTCCTGGGGGTGACACTGGATCATCAGCCAAGCTCTCGAGTGGCACAGAGATGGATGATCCATCCATCCATCCATCAGTTCATCTATCCATCCATCCACCCATCCATCCACCCACCCACCCATCCATCCCTCCATCCACCCATCCATCCATCCACCCATCCATCCATCCACCCATCCATCCATCCACCCATCCATCCACCCATCCATCCATCCACCCATCCATCCACCCATCCGCCCATCCATCCATCCACCCACCCAACTATCCATCCCACTATCCATGCCATCTAATTATCCATCTTTTCATTCATCCATCCATCCCTCCACCCACCCACCCATCCCATTCATCCCTCCCATCCATCCACCCATCCATCCATCCCTGTTTTCATCCATCCCTCCATCCATCCAGTATGGAAAAAGTGAAGGAGGAGAAGGAGGAGGAGAAGGAGGAAGATGAGGAAGAGGAGGGGGAGGGCCGAGGCAGCGGCGGGGGAGCCCCGGGAAGCTCCAATTCCCATAATTGCCGGCGGGGTGGGTGGGCTGCGGCGGCCGGCCGGGGAGCGGGGGCGGGGGGAGAGGGGCCGAGGGAAAAGAAAAGTCTTTCAACCTGGCCTTTGCACACCCCCAGCCCCAAATTCACAGCTCCTGTCAGAAGCGATCTCCGTTAGCCCCGCGCTCACGCACTGCTGCCCACCGCGGCGGCCGGGGGGGACACGGCCCGCGCACAAAGGGCCCGGACGGCCCCGCCCGCCGCTAATTGCTCCCGCTCGCCCGCCCTGCCCTCGCCGGCCCCCCCCGGCCCTCCCAGCCCCGGCCCCTCCGCCCCGGCCCCCCCGGGCCGCGCCCGCCTTAGGGCTCGGCTCCAAAGTGCGCCCGCGGCTCCTTCCCAGCGCCAGAGGGGGGCACGGACCGCTGGGATCAGGGAATCGTGGGATGCTTTGGTCGAAGGGACCTGGAAGCCCATCCAGTGCCAACCCCAGGGACACCTTTCTCTATCCCAGGTGGCTCCAGCCTGGCCTTGGACACTCCCGGGGATCCAGGGGCAGCCACAGCTTCTCTGGGTGACCTGTGCCAGGGCCTGCCCACCCTCCCAGCCAGGAATTCCTTCTCGGTGTCCCATGTAACCCTGCCCTCTGGCAGTGGGAAGCCATTCCCCGTGTCCTGTCCCCAGGGCAGGGTCACCTCGGCCTCTGGAGCAGGAGGGCAGCGAGGGATGCTCGGCCCTATCCCAAATTACAGAGCGGGACCCAGCGGGGGCAGAGACGGGAAATGGGACAGAGAAACGGCCCCCAAATGCCCCAAAGCCTCTGTCCCGGGGCAAGGACAGGGATGAAGAGGGGGCTCAGCAGGGCTATGGATTATCCCATGGATTTCATCAGAAGGATGTTGGACGGGGCTTGGATCCACCCGGTCGGTGGGAGGGGTCCCTGCCATGGCAGGGGGTGGCACCGGGGGGCTTTAAGGTCTCTCCTAACGCAAACCAGCCTGGGATTTTAGGATTCCGTAAATGCTGAGTTTTTAACCAAAATGCTGATGTCCGGAGTGACCCGGCCCCGTTCCCAGGACGGGACACGAATCCACCATCCCCGACGGCAACTCCGCGCTCAAAATCCCGCTCGGCCCGACCCCACCCCCTCCTCCCGAGCCGCCATCCTGCCCCGGGGCCATCCTGGGACTTTTCCGACAGTCCCTAAGTGACCGTTTCCCCCCTCCACAACCTGCCCATTGTGCCGTGTGTCACTTTGTGCCGCGCTGTCAAACCCACCGGCCTGTCCCAGCCCGGCAGAGCCCGTGAAAGGCGCGGCGGGGGGTCACACTCTATGCCACTAATTAGGGCCCGGCGGCCGAGGGTTCCCATACACACCTGCACGTCATGTGAGGGGAGCCAAAGAAAGGCAGCCCCAGCCAAGCGTGAACCAAACAAGCAGCCCAAGGAAGGGGAAAAAAAAAAAAAAAAGGAGAAATAAATTGCTGGGCTTGCTGCCGCGTTTGCCGGCAGACAAAACAGGGCTGGGGGCGTGGGAGGCGGGGAGGGGGCTGCGGACCCCGCGCCGGGCCAGCTGGGCTGAGGGAGCCGGGAGGAGGGGGCTCCGAGGGGAAAGAGAAGCGGTGGAGGGCTGGGGGATCCCCCCACGCCGTGGGGCAGAGGGTCCTGTGCCAGTGGCACGGACCGGGGGGGGATGGCTGGCTGGATGATGGATGGATGGATGATGGATGGATGGATGGATGGATGGACGGACCCATCAGCTGCGGCCCCCAGGACCCCGCCAGCCCCTTCCCCACAGCCCCACGGCACTGCCAGCCCCCGTGGTCACGCCGAGGACAACAGCCCTGCTCTGCTTCCCAGGGGTCCGGCAGCTCCAGAGGGTGGGGGGCCCCAAGGTCACCCACGCCCCTCCCGTCTGCAGCACTGGGAAGGGGGCAGGGGGCTGGCAGAGCTGGCAAGAGGGCGAGGGGAGCAGCGAGCCCAGCTCTCCACCACCGGCTGCCTCCTGCTGCCAGGGGCCTTATATAATATATATATATATAATATATATATATTTAAATATATAAACCCGGCTGCCGGGTTTATATATTTAAAAATCCAATTTTGGGATTTGGAAATGGGAAGTTGGGGGAGCGGCTCACACCTCCCCACGGGGCCTCCCCGGGCTCTGCCACAGCCCCCAGGCTTCCCAGGGCCCCCCCCTCCCCCCAAGGCTCTTGGGGAGCAACCTCAGGTCTGAAACCATCCCTCCACCTGTCCGTCCCTCCGTCTCTCCGTCCCTCCATCTATTCGTTCCTGCATCTCTCCCTCCATCCCCCATCCCCTCTCCAGCCCAGCTCCCGGGCTGCTCTCGCTGAGTTTGAAGCAGCGGGAGGGACGGGGGGGGACAGGCGGGGACCCCCCCCCGCACAGGTCCGCACGTGCGGGCAGGGCCCCGCGCCCACGTGCGGGAGCGGCAGCGGGATCGCTCCCGGGGCTGTTTTTCCCGGCGCTGGGTCGAGCCAAAGGCCGGGAGGTGAGAAGTGGCTCTTCGTGCTAATGGATTCGCGGCGCTGGGGAGCGGCTGCCGGTTCCTCCGCCGTCTCTCGGGAGAGCGGGCTCTGGATGGGCACTGCGGGCACTGCCTGCTCCTGCCTGCCGTCCCTGCCAACCCTGGCTGCCCACGGCACTGCTTGACCCCACTCCATGCCCGGTGCCACTCTGGGACCCCACTCTGGAACCCCACACTTGGGGGGCACCGCGTGGGGCTGAGGGACACACGGCATGTGAAGCTGGCACTGTGGCACACGCCTGAGACCCCCTCGACACAGGGGCGGTGCCCACCTCGGCCCGGACCCACAGCACCCCCCCGTCCCACCCAAACCTGCCCCAGTGTGCCCAGGTGGCACCCCGAGGAGCTCAGCTGCCCTCAGCCACACCCTGCTCCTTCCCCCAAATTCGGGGGTGTCTTTATACCTCCCCCAGACCCCCCTGTCACCCTCAGGTTCTCTCCCAGCTGCCCCCTTGCTGGGGTCCCTCCTCCCGGTGCCACCCCTGCCGTCACCTGGCAGCACATTTTGGGGCGCCGGGACCGCCCTCTCCCGGCCCTCCCTCGGCAGGGAGCCCACCCTGTGCCCCTCACACGCCTCCCACCCGGGTGACAGCGACACGCAGGCAGGACTTTGTGCCAGCCTGGATAGGGGGCCGGGTTTGGCTGCGCAGAGCCAGCCTGGCAGAGCCGGCACTGCCCGTCCCGCTCCCGAGGGGGAAACGCGGCAGGAGGGAATAAACATGGAAATGAGCATTTTTGCCTTGGGAAGGGACACTCGGGCCAAGGGCTGGCGCCCAGCCAGGTGACCGGGACACGAGTCACCCCCGGTGGCCACTCCCGGCTCCGTGTTGACACCAAACACGGCGGGGCCGGGCAGGGCCGGCCGGGCTGGGAGGGAGCGGCCGGGACCGTGCCAGCCCGGAGCCACCCGGCTCGGGACCGGCGGGGTGGCATCCTGGGAGGTGACTTCCAAACTCCCTCCGACCATCCCGACCCGGCAGCGAAGGCACGAAGGTCACAGCAAACGTCCTTGGTGCCGCGGGCGGTCGGGGACGGGGTGCTGGGGGGCTCACCCACCCCCCATGTGGGGCGGGCACCATGCCAGGCTCCCCGGGGTCGGGGCGGGACGGGGGAGCAGCCCAGGGTGAGGGGCTGAGGGTGCCAGCGCTGAGGCCCCAGACCCCCAGGAGCTCCCCGGGAGCCACGGGGGGCACACGGGGACGGACGGAGCACCCACGGGTGTGACACAAAGTCCCGCTGGTGTCACACCGACGACCCCTCGATGGACACGTCCCCACCCCCCGACACGTGCGGCTCACCCCAGGGACACCTTGGCGGGTCCCACACCCTGTCGGGGCGGGGGAGAGGGACACCCGGGGCACCCCCGCACCCCTGTGGGGTCACCGCAGCCCCCGCACACCCCACAGCCCTCGGGGGGCCGGGACAACTTCCCCAGCCCCTGCAGTGCGGAGCCTAGGAAGGGGGCACCCCCACAGCCCCACACAGCCCCTGTGCCCCCCGAGAGGCACACACGGCCCCGGTGTCACCCCCCCGTCCCTGCCTGTCCCGGTGTCACTCCTGTCCCCCCTGCCTGTCCCGGTGCCACCCCCATCCCTTCCCGACCCGGTGCCACCCACCCACCTCTGCCCGGTGTCACCAACTCGTCCCTGCCGCCCCGGGGTACCCACGGCGCCCACCCTGCCCGGGGGCACAGGGGTGCCGTGCCCGCCCCCGGCGCTCTCCGCCCCGTCCCCCCGTCCCCCCGTGCCCCCCGTGCCCCCCGCTCACTCAGCCGGGGGTTGCTGCTGTAGTCTCTGCTCACGGCCAGCCCGTGCTCCCGGGCTGCTGCCAGCGCTGCCGCCGCTGCCGGTGCCTTGGTGGCGGCCATGGCACGGGCACGGTCACGGACACGGTCACGGTCACGGTCACGGACACGGACACGGGCACGGTCACGGCGGGGCCGGGCAGGACGCGCCAGCGCCCCGGGCTTTGTACCCCCGGCCCGGCCCCCGCCCGGCCCGCCCGCCCGGGCGGCCCCGCCCGCGGCCCCGGCGGCACCTGAGGCAGCGGCGACACGGGTGGCACCGGGACACGGGTGACACCGGGGACACAAGGGACACCGGCGACACAAGGGACACCGGCGACACGGGTGACACCGGCGACACGGGTGGCACCGGCGACACAAGGGACACCGGCGACACAAGGGACACCGGCGACACGGGTGGCACCGGGACACGGGTGACACCGGGGACACAAGGGACACCGGCGACACGGGTGACACCGGCGACACGGGTGGCACCGGCGACACAAGGGACAGCGGTGGCCCCGTCGGCCCCGTGTTGGCCGTGAACAGCGGGAGGGAGCGGCCGGAGCGGGCACAGCGCCTGTCCCGGGCCTCGGGGAGGGAGAACGGGGTAGGGATAGGGAATGGGATTGGGATAAGGGATAGGGATAAGGGATAGGGATGGGGTAGGGATAAGGGATAGGGAATGGGGTGGGGATAAGGGATAGGGATGGGATAGGGATGGGGTAGGGATAAGGAATAAGGATAGGGATAAGGTGTATGGGTAGGGGTAAGGGCTAGGGAAGGATATGGGGACAGGGACATGGCCAGTGATAAGGGCAGGGACAGGGATGGGGACAGGGGTTGGGATAGAGATACAGGAGAAGGGAAAATGGATGGGTATAAGGGAAAGGGATAAGGAATAAGGGTAGTGCCAAGGGACAGGGATAGGGTTAGGGATAAAGGATGGGGATAAAGGATAGGGAACGCTATGGGGATGGGGGTATGGGTAGTGATAGGGATGGGGAGGGAATGGAGATGGGAGCAGGGGTGGGGTGGAGACAAGGCTGGGACAGGTGAGGGGACAGGGCTGGGGACAGGTGAGGGGACAGGGCTGGGGACAGGTGAGGGGACAGGGCTGGGGACAGGTGGAGCTCGGGGCAGTGCCGAGGGCAGGGCAGGAGGTAATTTGGGGGGAGGGGCGGGGGTACGGTGGGTGCAACCCCCCAGAGGCAGGGCAGGGATGGGGGCAGGGCCGGGGGGCTAAGGGCGAGGGGCTGGGGGGGACTGGGGGCACTACTGGGGAGGGGACGTGCAGGTATCCCGGGGGGGGGGGATTCATTCCATGGGGGAAGGGTGCAGGTATCCCCGTGGAGGGGGAATCCATTCTGGGGGGGTTAGTGGAAGTGTCCCCGGAGGGGGGGGATTCACTCTCGAGGGGCTCTGAGAAGAGCAGGACACGCTGGGCTTCGAAATGCCACCCTGGGATGGCACCCACGGGGCTGGGGACACCCACGGGGCTGGGGGCACCCACGGGACTGGGGACACCCACGAGAGGGGACACTCACGGGACTGGGGACACCCACGGGACTGGGGACACCCACGGGGCTGGGGACACCCACGGGACTGGGGACACCCACGGGGCTGGGGACACCCACGGGGCTGGGGACACCCACGAGAGGGGACACTCACGGGACTGGGGACACCCACGGGACTGGGGACACCCACGGGGCTGGGGACACCCACGGGACTGGGGACACCCACGGGGCTGGGGACACCCACAAGGTTTGGTGGCACCCGGAGCAGGGGGCGAGGGATTCCCAACCGTGGATCCCAAAGGCGATGGAGGACGAGGAGGAGGCAGGAGGCAGGACATGACTTTTATTAACCATTAGAAACCATAAGAAACCACATTATTCCTTAAAGTTTTACATCCAGTAGTTGCTGGGGTTTTTTTAACTCTTCCCCCGATCCCCTCAGGCTGGAGGAGCCGCTGGATTGGGATGGACTGGGGGGAACGGGTGTCCCCCCGGCCCCCCACGACCCCCGGGACAGCTTCGCTTTGGAGGAGGAACTTTGGAGAAGCAGCAGCTTTGGATCCGATCTGGGACCTCTGTGAAAGCAGCATTTGGGTTTCAAGGGGCGGAAGGAGCGGCCCGCGGCCTCCCCGTTGTGCTGCCCGCGGATCCCTCGGGGTGTGGAGCAGCGGGAGGAGGATGCAGGAGAGCCACAGGGATGCTCCGGGCCGGGAAAACACGTCAGGGACCCTCCCAAAACCGAACCGGGCTTTGCTTTCTCTGAAACGCCCCCAAACCTCCTCCAGCCGAGAAGGTTGAGGGGGGTTCCCTTCTCCAGCAAACCCCGGGTTCCTCCCGGCGAGCCCAGGGCGGGAGGAAGCGGGGTGGGAAAGCTTGGAAAATCCCTGCGGTTCGGCTGGGAAGAGGGAAAACCAAAGCAAAGCGAGTCCCGAAGGGGGTTTGAGGGCAGGATTCCACGCCGGGGGGGGGGCACGGCTGCCCCGCCGCCCGCAGCCCCCGCCCGCCGGGATAAATATAAATTAAGTGACGAGGGGGAGGGCGAAGGGTCCCGGCAAATCCCAAACCTCACACACGGCGTTGGGGTGTCGGGGTTGGAGCACCCCGGGAGCACCCGGAGAATTCCAGGGAGATGTTGGCGGCGAGCCGTGCTCTGAGCCGGGGGGATCGGGGGGGCTCGGGACCCCCAACCAAATCCTGTCCCTGCTCCTGCCTCAGTTTCCCCACCTGCGCCGGGGGTACCGACCCCCCCCGAGCTCCCCTGAAGAGCTCCAAAGGGAGGGAACAATAAATACCATTTCATAGAAAGGCTCCGTTTGGAGGAAAAAAAAATAAAAATCACCGAAACCTTCTCATAAAATCATTTATTTTAAATATTTCCCTGCAAACCCCCGGGAACGCGCGGGCTGGGAGCTGCGTCCCCGGGAGGGAGCGGTCCCGGCGGAGCAGCGGCCCGGGGGGACGCCCGGTGTTAATTATCGTTGTTAACTATTAAAGGGCGGCAGGAGGGGGCTGCGGCCCCCGGGTTTGGGGAGTGTGGGGGGGTGTGAGCCCCCATGGCAGCTCCTGGGCTTGGGGAGGGGGCTCAGGGCGTCCCCCCGATCCCGTCACAGCGATGACCCCTCGGAGCGTCCTGCCAAGGCCGTGCTGGCACCACGGACCTGCCCTCCCCCAGCAGGGGCCGGGGGGGCCGCGCTGCCCCTGTCCCCAAAGGCCACCTCACGCAATGCCCCTCTGGTTCGCGCCCCCACGGAGCCACATCGCGCCCGAGGCCGGATCCTGCCCCGCGGGAAGCCTCCGGGATCAGGGGCCGGGCGGGAAGAGGTCGCCCGGGGGGCTCAGCACCTCTCTGGGACGGACCCTGGGGCTGCCGGGGGGGGGATCGAGGGGTGTGGGGGGCGTTGCGAGGCCCGTGCTCAGGGTGGGGCTCCCCACGGTACCCGCGCCGAGCGCTCAGCACCCCGCGCTGGGTCCGGGGGGGCTTCGGGCTCCCGGCGGTGGCAAAGACCCGACCCAGAGGGGCAGATCCCAGTGTCACAACTGTCCACAACTCTGCCACGTCCCCGTCGGGGGGTGTCCTTGGGGGGGCTCAGGACGGTGGGCGGTCCCCGGCTCCCCGCAGCCCCCTCGGGGAGGTCGGAGGGGGTCCGTGAGGGATTTGCCGGGCTGGGACGGCACCGAAGCGGGTGCAGGGCGGTGCTTTGGCTCTGCACGAGCAGAGGAGGAGCCCGGGGATGTCCCACGAGTAGGGGCAGCGTCTTGGTCCGATCACAGGGACCCCTGGGGGGGCTGGGGACATCACCCACCCCCCCGGACCCGGCGGTGTGCCCTCGGAGGACCAGTATCCCACGGGAGCAGCACCTGGAGCCCACGGCCACCGGGATGCTGCGAGGAGACCTCAGGCAGGACACGCAGCCCTTCGCGGGTGGAGAAACTGAGGCACGACCCTCGTCCAGGGACACCCCGGCCGGGCGGGGCCAGAGCCCGGCGCCGCCCTGCGCTCTCCCTTTTGGGGTGCCCTCCTGCCCCCCGGGGTGACCCCAACGCCGCAGACCCCGGGGGGACAGTCCAGGGGGATCAGGGCTCCGCGGTCCCACCCGTGAGAGGCACCGAAAGCCCACGGGGCAGCGGCGACCCCCCGGCCCCCCCCGAGGTGCCGCTGTCCCGGCACAGCCCGCGGGCGGTACCTGGAGGGGGGTGCGGCGGCAGGTCCAGCGGCGTCGGTGAGGGACGGGGCGGCACCGGTGACACGGGACCCCCGCGGACCCCCCGCGTGTGACATCCACGGCTCCAGCGCTGTGCCTGGGGCGGGGGCCGGGCGTGCGCGGCCCCCCCGCGCGTGCCCATTCCCACCGGGACGAACCATCTCCCGCATCCCACGAGCCCAACGAGGCCCCGGCGCGGGGTGCGGGGGGCGCGGGGGGCGCAGGGAACGGCGGAGGGGGGGGGGACACCTTTTGACACTCGTTTTGATTTAAGGGCTCGGCTTCTTGCTGGGTATAGAATTGTCTTTCCTCTCCAGCCGCGTGTAAGGCTCGAAGGCGGAGGTGCCCAGTCCGTACGCGCCCGGCAGGTCGTGCAGGCTGCCCAGCAGCGGCCCCCCGAAGCACAGCGGCCCCCCCGGCAGCCGCGGCGAGGAGGAGGAGGACGAGGAGGCGAGAGACGGGACCTGCAGGCTGAAGGCCGCCGGTGCCGGGGGGCTGCTCCCGCCGCCCAGCCCGGGGGACGCGGGGCCCGGCGTGGCCAGGCCGGAGCCGTTGCCCGCGGGGCTGGCGAGGGGGTTGGAGGCGGGGGACAGGAGGCTGGGGGGGGCCGGCACCGACAGCAGCCGGCCCTGCTCCAGCAGCCGGAGGATGTTGCAGGTGGCGAAGGACTCGGAGGTGGTGGAGGAGCGTTTCTCAGAGTCCCTGCTCTGGTCCTTCTTCTGCTTCGTGCGGCGGTTCTGGAACCAGACCTTGACCTTGGGGGGGGGGAGCGGGAGGACGGGATGGGGAGGGAGGGGGGACAGAAAGGCACGGACGGAAAGAGAGCGCGGGGGGGCCGGGGAGAGAGAGGCGAGAACCAGGAGAGAGTGAGAGATACGAGAAAGAGAGAGAGACGTATTAAAATAAACGCCCAAGCGAGATCCATCCTCCGCCGGGGGAACTGCGCAGAGCCGCCCCCGCCTGCCGCTCCCGGGGAGAGCGGAATTCCTGCAGCGCCGGGAGGGAGCGGGACGGGAGCCTGGGGCTGGGACCCTGGGGCTGGAGCCCAGCGAAGGGCGCCTGGGGAGGAGAGCCCAGGAACTGAACTCTTGGGAACGGAAGCCTGGGGATGGGACCCCAGGGATGGGACCCCGGGGATGGGACCCCGGGGATGGGATCCCAGGGACGGGACCCCAGGGACGGGACCCCAGGGATGGGACCCCAGGGACGGGACCCCAGGGACGGGACTCGGGACAGGAGCCCAGAGTTGGGAACCCGAGGATGGGCCCCCAGGGACAGGAGCCTGGGGATGGGACCCCATGGGTGGGACCCCATGGGTGGGACCCCAGAGATGGGACCCTGGGGACAGTAGCCCGGAGCACAGAGCCCGGGGCTGAGCCCCCCCCACCGTGCCCGACTCTGCCCTGTGCTGGTTCTCCCGGGAATGCTGAGCTACGGGACGTGCTGAGTTCTCCTCGCAGATGCTCTTCAGACCCGAATTTATGTCCCCACCTGCAAACCCTTCCCTCGCCGGGGCAGGGGGAGGGTCCCCGGCCGTGCTGGGGTCCCCATGAGGGGACAGGGGGGCTCCTGGTGGCCCTGGATCTCTGGGCACGGACCCAGCTGGGGACACCCCCACCCCAACCTGCCTCTGGCCAAGGTCAGGAACGAGCCCAGGTTGAAGCCCCGCGGGATCCCCCTGCCCCAAAACTGCCCCTGCCTCCCTCGGGTGGGACCCGGCCCCCAGCCCGCGGGTCCCCCCCTGAGCTGGGAGGGCAGCCCCCCTTCCCTCCCTCCCTGGCAGAGCAGAGGGGTAGGAGAGGCAGAGAGAGAGACAGAGAGAGGCGTGAGGGACAGACAGACAGACGGAGACGGAGGTGAGGGAAGGAGACGGATGGGAAGACACTCGGATTAGAGCGCGGTGGGCGGGGGGCGGCACGAGCGGGGCCGGGCCGGGCGCTGGCGGGACCCCGGGGTAAGACACGGCCGGGCCGCATCCCCCCCGCTCCGGGGCCAGCGGGTCTCGGACCCCTCGGAGTCATCGGAAGCTCGCGGGGGCAGGACAGTCCCTCGGTGGCACGGCCCTCACGCGTCCCCAGCACAATAGAGCCACAGTGCAGAGCTAATGGAGCGTGGGGGTGGAGGAGGTCCCGGCGCCCCGGCCCCTTCCCAGGGACACAACAGAGGAGCTGCCGCCGGCCCGGGCGGCTGGAGGCTGGGCAGGAGCTCCCGGGCAATGGGGGACACCGGGACCGCGGGGCCAGCACCCCCTGGGACCACCGGTGCTGCCGGTGCTGCCGGCCGACGCCCTACCCCCCTCGTCCCACGTGGAAGCTCCCAAGGGCATCCCCTGCCCACACACACCCACACGGGGAATGTCCCTCCCTGCCCCGGGGCGGCTGGCACAGCCCGGCCGGGCCCCCAGGGCTGATGTCCTCACCCCACCACCCCCGTGTCGCTCCGTGCTGGCAGTTGGGGTGGTTTGGGGCACAGTCCCGTGTCCCTGGGCATGGCCTGAGGCAGAACTACCATCCCACCAGCTCCTCCCGTGGGGACCTCCTGGAGCTGCCGAATCCTGGGCAGTGCAGACCCCAAACACGCAGTGGGTGGGGACAAACAGGGCCCACAGAGCCCCTCAAACCAGCTCAGCAGTGACACCTTAACAAAGGGCCAGCACAAATCCAGCCAGGAACACACAACCCTGGCACTCTCTGCTCCCAACATCCCCCAGGCAGCAACTCCGGAAGAGCAGGAGCTCAAAAAAATCCCCGTCAGTGGGATTATGTCCTCAGGGATGGGCAGGAGGAGCCCACGGATCAGGTCTGGCATCTCCTGGGTGCAGCTGCCCCATCCCTGTGCCGGGGAGATCAGAGATGATGGGATGTGCTGGATCCCACCCTCTGGGCTGAGGGGCACTTCCAGCCCCGAGCCCCAAACCAGGGGATGCTCCAGAGCCCCCCTGACACAACCCCTGCCCAGGGACACCTCCCACCAGCCCAGGCTGCTCCAAGCCCTGTCCAACCTGGACTTGGACACTTCCAGGGGCAGCCACAGCTTCTCTGGGCAACCTGGGCCAGGGCCTCTCCATCCTCACAGCCAGGAATTCCTTCCCAATATCCTTCCCAAAATTCCTTCCCAATTCCTATCCCAGTATCCAGCCTGACACCAGGGATCGGTTCCCCCTCTCACTGCTGTCAGAAGCCACCCGAGCAGAGCAACAGCCAAGACACATCAGAGCAGGAGCCTCCCGAGCATCCCGAGGGAAGGACCAAATCCCTTGGGAAGGGGCGGGTGCAGCTGATCCCACTGTGCAGCATCGGCTGGGGTAGGACAGGGAACAGCCACAGGGGTTCAGGGAACGCAAGGACTTGGGGACATCGGGGGGGTCAGCAGGTATGGGCTGGAAACCCGTCAAGGCAGGAGCATGGGGTGACAGTGGAAGGGGGAATGGCTTCCCACTGCCAGAGGGCAGGGTTAGATGGGATGTTGGGAAGGAATTCCTGGCTGGGAGGGTGGGGAGGCCCTGGCACAGGTTGCCCAGAGAAGCTGTGGCTGCCCCTGGATCCCTGGGAGTGTCCAAGGCCAGGCTGGAGCAACCTGGGCTGGTGGAAGGTGTCCCTGCCCATGGCAGAGGGTGGGATTTAAGGTCCCTTCCCTCCCAAACCATTCCATGACTGATAATTCTGACATGGGTTCCAGTGTGGAAGGGTGGAAATATGCTCCTTACATGAAGAGGATCCACTGGGTTCCCCCTTCCCAGTGCTGCTGCTGGGAGCCTGTCCCGGCACCGAGCCCCTTCCCAGCTGGAATATCCTGTGCTCCCGGTGCTGTCACCAGCTCTGGCTGATGCCATCAGGGGTGATGCACCTCCACTTGCAGGTACAGACAGAAACACGTTCTGGGGCCCTCCCTGCCCTCCCTCTGCACCCCACTCTCTCCCGGGAGGTTCTCCCAGCCCGGACTCCCCTCTGTGGCTCTCCCCTGCACCCAGCACCCCACAGAGCCTGTCCTGGCTGAGCCCTCTGCACTAACCCTGTCCCGGTGACAGGAGCCCTTCCCCACCCGAGCCCTCTGCACTAACCCTGTCCCGGTGACAGGAGCCCTTCCCCACCCGAGCCCTCTGCACTAACCCTGTCCCGGTGACAGGAGCCCTTCCCCACCCGAGCCCTCTGCACTAACCCTGTCCCGGTGACAGGATCCCTTCCCCACCGGAGCCCTCCGCACTAACCCTGTCCCGGTGACAGGATTCCTTCCCCACCCGAGCCCTCCGCACTAGCCCTGTCCCCTCGGGGCTGGCCCGGTGACAGGAGCCCTTCCCCGCCCGCCCCGGTGACAGGGCAGAGGAGCGGGGCCGCGTTTGCCTCGGCGGCTGAAGTTCATCTGCAACTTGTCCCTAATTAGTGGCTCCCTGTCCTTTTCACCCTCCATCATGCTCAGCCCCGAGTCCCTCTCGGAGGACGTGGATGAGCTCAGCCAGACGCAGCCCTTGACAGCTCCATGAGTAATTCCCCTCCAGCCTCGGCCTCCCTCCTCGTCCCCCCTCAGCTCCGGCTCCTCCTCCTCCCTCACTCCGCTCTCCCTCACAGCCCCCTCGGCCACCGCGGCTTTGCCAAATCGCTCCCGATGGATGAGCTTTTCCTCCCCTACAAAAAGCAGCTTCCTCGCTTTCCTTGCGCCGGTGCCGCGGCACCGACGCCCTTCCCGGCTCAGCCTGGAGGGGCCGGGGAGCACCAGGCTGGGACATTCCCGGTGGGCACCACTCCGGCATCCAGGGAGGAGGTGACGCGGCCCTCTGGAATATCTCGTTTCCTGCCAGACCTTGGCTGGAAGGGGAGAGGGAGAGCAAGGACATCCCTCCCCTAGGAAGGCTAATTCCCAGCCGTGCCATTCTGGGGACAGCCGGGACATCTGGCCGGGAGGGCACAGGGAGAGGGGGACAAATCCCGGGAATTGCCCAGGGCTGCTGGGGGCTCCGAGTGCCCACCCTGGGGCTCTGGGACCCGGGCCCGGGGGTGACATTCCGGGCAGGGCCAGGCTGGACACGGACAGGGAGAGCAGGAGGGCCCGGCTGTGCCCGGAGAGCGGGGCCGGGGGGCAGCGGGAAGGGAAGGGGACTCTCCAAGGACAGGGAGGAGGGAGCCGGGAAGCCCCGGGAGACGCGGAGTGCGAGACACGGCACCGGGTGAGGCGGGAGCACGACCTGCAGAGCTGCAGATCCCACAGTTCCAGGCTGGTCTGGGGGGAAAAGGGCCTTAAACCCCACCCAGAGCCACCCCCTGCCATGGGCAGGGACACCTCCCACTGTCCCAGGCTGCTCCAGCCTGGCCTTGGACACTTCCAGGGATCCAGGGGCAGCCACAGCTTCTCTGCCCAAACTGTGCCAGGGCCTCTCCACCCTTCCAGCCAGGAATTCCTTCCCAATATCCCATCTATCCCTGCCCTCTGGCACTGGGAAGCCATTCCCTGTGTGCTGTCCCTCCCTGCCTCGTCCCCAGTCCCTCTCCAGCTCTCCTGGAGCCCCTTCAGGCCCTGCCAGGGGCTCTCAGCTCTCCCTGGAGCCTTCTCTTCTCCAGGGGAACCCCCCCAGCTCTCCCAGCCTGGCTCCAGAGGGTGCAGGCAGTGACCAGGGATGTCAGACCTCACGGCATTTTTTTTGGGAAAAAAGCCATTTGGAAGGTCCAAACCCGCAGCCTGGTCCTTTTGGGAGACCCTTCCCAGTGTGGGGGGGGAATCCAGCCGGGCCCCCTCCCCGTGTCCCCACAGAGCCCCTCCCCCTTGTCCCACCACCCCTGATGTCACCAGTGCATGGGGGGGCTTCACCCCCCAAAAGCTGTGTGATCCCATCCCATTCCCAGTTATGGCAATGGTGCAAATTAAAAAATAATAGAAAATTATATATACATATATATACACACACACACAATTTTGTATTACATATTATTTCTATTTTCTAATAAATATTTCACAGTCTAGGGATTATCTTTTATATATAATATATAATGTCTAATGTATGTGTTATATAAAACACGTAATGTATTCCATACACTGTATTTTTATACGATGTATTTTATTTTATATTTTATATTTATATATTATGATGTTGATATTTCTCCTTCTCCCTGAAGCTCCTCCTCGTCCGTTCTCCCCATTCCCTCTGAGGAGAAGGGCAGGGAAAGCCCTGGTCGCTGCTGGAAAAGCAAATCCTGCGATTCCCTGCACTCCCAACAGCTTTTCCTGCAGTGACAGTGTCCACGGGGCCCCGGCTGGCTTGGAAACTGGGATGTGGAGCCCTCGGAGAGCCCGGCAGGAGTCCCTGTGTCCCTCCTGAGCTGGGTCACCTCCTGCGTCCCACCCAGGCAGCCAGGAGCTGTTTAATTTAATTTCATTTTATTTTATTTTATTTAAATTTACGTTACTTTATTTTTCCATTGCATTCTATTGAATTGTACAGAATTACATTTTAATCTGTTCTGTTCCATTTTATATTTTTATTTATTTACTATATTTTATTTTATTTTGTTCTACTCTATTCACCGTATTTTATTTTTTATTTTTATTTACTGTATTACATTTTGTTTTGTTCTATTCTACCGTATTTTACTTTGTTCTATCCTGCTCCGTTTAATTTCGTCTCTATCCTACTCCATTTTTATCTTGGTTTATTCCATTTTATTTTACTTTACTTTGCTTTATCCTCTTCTATTCCTTTTCCTTTAGGAAATTTGTTTTTACTTCCTTTTATTTCCTGTTGTTTTATTTGATTCCTATTTTAGTTATTTGATTCCTATTTTATTTATTTTATTTATTTTATTTTATTTTATTTATTTTATTTTATTTATTTTATTTTATTTTATTTATTTTATTTTATTTTATTTATTTTATTTTATTTATTTTATTTTATTTATTTTATTTTATTTTATTTATTTTATTTTATTTTATTTATTTTATTTTACCCCCCCCCGTTACACAACGAGCCCCCGAGTTCCCCCCGGATTTCTCCTCCCGCTGCTCTTCCCTCTGCCCGGATCTCCTTCCCTGGACCCCCCACCCTCCGTCCCGTCCCCCCCAGAGCGGGAGGAAGGCAGAGGAGCGTCACCCCACCCGCTCCCTCGCACCTGGAATGTCATCCCAAATGTCACTGAGCTTGGAATGCCGGAGCTCGTCTCGGAGCACACGGACACAGGGACGGGCGAGCTCCCAGAGCGGAGCCTTGGGATGGGGTCACGTCTCCCACGTCCCCCCGAGCCCCCCGGTTCCCCGGCGCCAGGCAGGGGGTGGGAGGCAGCACGTGGAGAGGGGAACAAACATGGGAACGTGGCACCACACCGAGCCCTCAGCGCCATCCAGAACCCTCAGCACCATCCCGAGCCCACGGCACCATCCCGAGCCCTCGGCACCATCTCAAGCCCTCGGCACCATCCCAAGCCTTTGGCACCATCCCGAACCCACGGCACCATCCCGAGCCCTCGGCACCATCCAGAGCCCTCGGCACCATCCCGAGCCCTCGGCACCATCCTGAACCCTCAGCACCATCCCGAGCCCACGGCACCATCCTGAACCCTCAGCACCATCCCGAGCCCTCGGCACCATCCGGAGCCCTTGGCACCATCCGGAGCCCAGGGCACCATCCCGAGCCCTCAGCACCATCCCGAGCCCTCGGCACCATCCGGAGCCCTCGGCACCATCCTGAACCCTCAGCACCATCCCGAGCCCTCAGCACCATCCTGAGCCCATGGCACCATCTGGAGCCCACGGCACCATCCCGAGCCCACGGCACCATCCCGAGCCCTCGGCACCATCCGGAGCCCTTGGTACCATCCCAAGCCTTTGGCACCATCCCGAGCCCTCAGCACCATCCCAAGCCTTTGGCACCATCCCGAACCCACGGCACCATCCCGAACCCTCAGCACCATCCCGAGCCCACGGCACCATCCCGAGCCCTCGGCACCATCCCGAGCCCACGGCACCATCCGGAGCCCACGGCACCATCCCGAGCCCTTGGTACCATCCCAAGCCTTTGGCACCATCCCGAGCCCTCGGCACCATCCCGAGCCCACGGCACCATCCCGAGCCCTCAGCACCATCCCGAGCCCTCGGCACCGGCTCCGGACACGCAACACCCGCGCCAGGGCACGCTGGGAGCTGCCAGCCCTGCTCCCAGCAGCCCATCCTGTGCCACGAGCGTGGTTTTCCACGTCTGTCGGCACCGGGATGGAGCACACGAGGGGTCTGATCCCGGAATCTTGGGGAGTGCCGGAGCCTGGGCCCCTTCTCCCGCCTGCCACGCGGGAGTGGGAATGCTGCTCCCACCCCGCCCCTCCTCACACACCTCAGGGCTCCAAGGGGAGTGATTTCCAGGCAGTTAATCCCGACGGAGACCCTTCCCCGGCAGGCCGAGCCCCCCGCACGCTCCGGGGATGGAAAGGCAAAGGGTGGGAGCTCCTCATCCCACGGCGCTTGGAGATCCCGGGATCTGTGGAGGGTCTGGGTCCAGCAACCACCTCACACGGCCCTGTCCATCATCCATCCATCAGCCATCCATCAGCCATCCATCATCTGACCATCATCCCCGCATTCCAGCCGGGGGGATCCCACAGTGCCCTCCTCTCTTTCCCACTCGTGTTTTCCATCACCCTACGGACTCGGGGCTGAGCCGCGCCGGGACGTGGCTCCGGAGCCAGCACGGTTTGTTGGTGGGATCCCAAGGCCCCC